CCTATCTGAACTCCCTCCACGACCCATTGCCTCTCGTGCAACCTCTCTCCATCTAACCGCATTCGACCTAATTACCCTACCTTCATCCCCCTCCATCACACGTCTCACACAACTCATGATTTCTTCTTTTCTCACTAATCCACACTCGTCCTTCGTAGCCGTGATCCCCAATCCCCACACATCCCTCACGAGTTTCGCATTTGTGCTCTGGTCGGTCCACTGCGGCATTGCCACCATCGGAACCCCTAAGCACAACCCCTCCAGAGTCGAGTTCCAGCCGCAGTGCGTCACAAAACACCCAATAGCAGGGTGTGCCAGCACTTCCAGTTGTGGGGCCCACGACACCACGAGCCCCCTGTCAGACACATCATGCCTGAAGTTTAGCGGGAGCATTGGCTCTTCAGATAAGCGGACAACCCACAAGAAGTGTTTGCCGCATGCAGTTAGGGCGCATGTGAGCTCCTCAGTTTGTTGGGCCGTTAGCTCTGTCAGGCTTCCGAACGATACGTAGATGACGGATTTGGAATGTCGTTGGTTAAGCCAGTCGATGGAAGTGATTGTTGGTGGGCCGAGAATGTTTAGGTTGTGGTTTTTTTCGTTCTCCAACTGTTTGTCCAGGTACATGGATGGTATCATTGGCCCAACTGCTTTCCCTCGCCAAAATCTCGTCATCCATTCAAGTACCTTGAATTACACAAGGTATAATGAAGTTAAGTGCAAAATAAAATCTTGTAGTTCAATTCGTCTTTGGTTTCGTTAAACGTACGATTAAAACTCATAATACTTATGTCCCACAATGCGATATTGCAATTTAGCATTGTCTACTCTTAATCATTGCGAATGATTGCTTTTTGTGTTGTTTGTGAATATTATGAAAATGTAAAGAAAATCGACTGAAAGAAACAAAGTCGAGGCCAGTAAAAAGACACTCTCCATAAGAAAAATTTTCCCTACTAATTACCCACAACTTAAGTTTAATGCTTGCGAGATACAATGATTTTTGACTTATGTATAGTAGTAATTCAAATACACGCACAAGCCTTTGGCGATTGCTACACTCGTTGTTTCATAACTCTCAAGGATAACACTGCTACACTCGTTGTTTCATAATTCTCAAGAATAACACAAACATAAAGAAATCAAGATGCTTTGAACTATGTTAAAATAATGCGAGAACTTTTTATGATTAAAATAAATAATAACAAAATAACATTCATGGGGGTATTTATAGATATTTAGGAACATAACCAGCATTTGATCATGTGTCTAAAAGTAATGTCAAGATAAATATAAAATAATAAACTAATTAACAGCCACAAACATTGAGAAAACTTGGAATCCTACCAAAAAGTAAACTAGGGCCATTCAAAAAAAAAAAAAAAGTAAACTACGGCCATTATTCATAATAAAAAATGTATATTTAGTTCATCATAATGCATATTTATTATGTTTAAATTAATTATTTATATAATGCATATTTGGCTCATTCATTATTCATATTATGTTCATACGAAATGCATATTTAGCTTATCATAGTGCATATTTACTATTTTAAAATTATATATATATATACATATTTAGTTTATACGAAATGCATATTTAGATAATAAAAGTACATATTTAGTTCATGTGAGGTCTTTATTGTGTAGATCAATGTATCATATTAATCAATTGAAATTTACATTAATTATATAATAAAAAATAATAATTGATATTAAAATTTAATTATATTAAACGCACATTTAATTACATATTTTCGTTGCATATTTAGTTAATGCAAAATGCTCATTTAGTTTATACGTAATGCATATTTAGTTCATAAACAATGTATATTAGTTGATATTGTTGGTGCATATTTAGTTTTAGTATTGTTCATACTAAATACATATTTAACTCATATGAAACGCATATTGCACATTATATATTTCTTTTATACATAATGCATATTACAGTCAACAGTCAAGTCGTAAGTCAACAGTAACGCCTGAAGTAAACGGTTAACTATCAATGACTA